AATATTGTCGTCACGTATACCAAAAATTAACAAAAATATTAATTTTTTTTCGTTTTCGATATAAATTTGACCACCATGACCTAGATTTTGATGCGTACTTTAATTCTAGACAAGAATTTTGCATTTCTATAAAGTCAATTAAAAGATTAGTGCTAAGAAAAAAAGCCGGTATTACAGACGGCTTTAGGATCCCCTTAAGATATGTATGTACACAATCGACTCCCTGGTGTGCTCGGGCAGTCGGGCTCGAAATCGCACTACGCGTTTAAAGCCTTGTGTACACCGGGCTTTACGTATGTACATACATACACAGAGCGCTCCGTCTCTATCCTTGTGACGACAGCAGACGAGCAGACAGCTCCAGTACTCCACACGAATAGACGAAGCGTCTCGGTGTACGTAGTGGAGGGGAAAAAACACCGATGTGCTCGGGCAGCGGGCAGCGGGCTCGAAATCGCACCACTTGATTTGTGAATTTGTGATTTGTGTATACAGTTGTAACTTGTAAACAGAGCCGGAGAGCCCGAGAGCATATCAGAAACGTGAGGAACACCGCGCGAATCATGCGTCCAAAGAAAGACGACGATTATCTTGAATTCGTGGATTAATAATCGTGGAACTATCGTAAGTGAAGAATCAGCGCACTTTGGATATTTAAAAAAAGGTGTTAATTACTAGGCGTCCTAACCTCGAAATTTGAAAAGGTTAAAGGGGTATCATAACTAATCACTAATCGGTTGCACATTAAAAAAGAGAGCATCTTATTAAGTCGCAACTACTTGGAATCGTCATTATAAAACCTCTTTCAGTTCAAGAGGACACAACATGAAAGTGTAAGTTATCAAGTTCGTTAGATCTCGTTTCGCTCGCGATAATCGTTAGCTTTTACCGCCGTCAATCTTTCAGCATAAAAGGAAATTGGAACACCCTTCTGAGCAATTACGAAGTTTTGAATATTTTGCAAAACACGAAGTCTTATAAGAAGCAGATGAATCAGCTCGCGACTATTACTTATCAGACGATTAAGTATCTGGAAGACACGCCGTGCAAGAAGCAGAATCCAGAAAAAATCCACGAGTTCCTAAAAGCGATGGAACCCATTAAATTGACCAAGGCCGAGAAGCTTACTCTTCTCAACCTCTGCCCCACTACATTAGTCGAGATACAATTGGTATGGTTCCTTTCCTAACAAATATCCTAATTAGGAAGCGGTGGAAAGGAAAGATTTGAGTCTCTGAATATTTCAATGGACTATAGATCTATTTTGAAATGTTTATATACAGATGGTTGAAGAGAGCGAGGAACGGCTGTCGGAGGAAGAAGCGAAGACCGTGCTTCAGATCGTCGCAAATTTGCGGGATGAGCAGGACGCAGAACAAGAGACCTAATTTTAGATCTTAAAAAATAACTTATTTAAATATATTTTGCGTATGTACATTTTATTTATAATAAACACGACTGGAAATAGTGTATAATTAAATTATTGTGCGTGCGTAATAGTGGATAGCCTTATTATCTCTTTTGATCTCCAAGATCGTCTATAGAGTCCTCGTCAATCTGAAAAAGAGCAGAATTTTCCATTAAGAAACTTTTGCGTTTGATGGCTTTTATTCTTTTTTCCCTCCTTTTAAAACTGTAACTTACTTGTGGCCATTTCTCAGGTATCACCTCGAATAAGTCATCCTTGACGTCTCCCTGTATGACAATCTCATCATCGCCAGTCACACTGGATCCACAGGCAAACTTGCTGCCGAAAAATTTCGCTGCTACCTTTAAGTCGATGTCTGTAAAGAATATATATTTTTCAACATTGAAATTATTTATTTTGCAATCCGTTTAAAGGGTCGATTTGATGTGTTACCAAAAGTGCTAAGGCCAGTTACAACTGTGACAGATTTCTTCTTTCCTCTAGGTGCTCTAGAGATGGTCACCAACCGTGGTATATCCTCTTTCTTCTTGGTTTTCAGCATACCCTTACCGCCTCGCTTCTGCCGCTTCTTCTCATCCTCCCCTGTGCTGACTTCGGTGGAGCCATCCTCTGTAGCTGGATTAGAACATAGTCTTTCAGTTAAAACCTCCGACTGTCCAACTGTCTCCGGTGATCAAAATTCTCCATAATTACCTAATTTCATCTTCTCAAATTCGGTAGGCAGATTTCTCTCCAGCCACTGCTTGCACTTGTCATATTCCGGATAGTATTCGCAGTACTGCAAATCAACAATTGGACCTTAATTCACGTTATCCCGTTGGAAGAGATGAAAAAATTAGTGCAAAACGTTTATTATTTTGTTTTCTTTCTCTAAGATGCGATATGCTATAATTAATTTTCAGTTATAATTAATTTCATTTTAACGATTGTCAATGATGACTCGTCTATTTTCGTCATCGAGTGCACTTTCTTCGCATCGATATCGAAAGTAGTGACTTACCTCGATGGGTAGCGAACAGTTCCCGCAGTACTGGACCCGAATAGGATAAGTGACATTAGGATCCGGTCCCAATCGAAACTCCGGCTGTTCCTCTGCTGACATCCTTGCGGCGTCTAACCTTACTCCTTACTCGCGGTCTCGTCGGGCAGTCCTTTCAAGTCGAGGTCGTTTTAGAAATTTTTCCTCCGTGCCGCGCTGATCTTCCTGGAAACGCAACGTTACTTATTTTCATGTATACAAACAACTCTGCCGACAAATATCTCGCACCGCGCGCACCGTTAGGTTAGGAGCCGCCAGGGATGTAGAGACCTGCAGATCGATTTTCAAGACTCGATAGCGTAGAAAGTGATTTTCGATTTCTTGAAAAGCTGCTTGAAAATTGTAACCAATGCGCGCGATGCGACTCGTCGTTTTTAGCACGCGTGCAATCTAGTGAATTATTACAAACACACCATTTATATCCATTTCGATCAAATGCAGATTATGCACAATTCGTATATATATAATTATCGACTACGTTTACACGGCTGCTTATAATCCGGTTTAATAACTATATACTGTATACTATCGGATTTAAAATTTTTCTTCTTTTGATTACAACGATCATTTAAATATGAACATATATTTTAATACTCTAAACATTTGAATCAATTTTTGATATTTATATATTAAAAAAGTTGTAGTTTTAATTAAGTATCAAAAAAGACTCATATCTAAATGATCATCTTAATAAAAAAATTTTTTGAATCGAATAACATACGGAGTGTTATTCAACCGGATGACAAGCCGCCGGGTAAACGTAGTCAATAATAAATATACATTTTAATATTTCTAATCTTGTTTTACAAATCAAAGAATACAAGAAATTAATAATTTTATTTATATAAAAAAATAAGATATTGTTTGATGGTTTTCTATTAATCACCGAAAGTTAATTACAATTTAAAGTCAAATAGCGTTTTCGACTGGACCGGATTTAATCGCTTCTACAGCGATTAACCCTCGGAGAACACTACACGTACCTATTTTTTCATTCACGGAGAACACTCTGGGTCAATCTGATGACCCTAATACATTCACTTTGATCGTACATCATTTTAAATTGACGAGTGCGATCAGCTTGAAAAAATTTCCAGATGTACTTGGAACATTGTTAAATCAATTGATATAAATAAAAAATGCCGTTGGAATTACTTACATATTTAAAAAAAATTGTTTAAATTAAAAAAAATTTTTTATTAAGTTTTTTAAATATATGGTATCCGCAGAGCTCTAACAGATACCATAGCGCATGCGCATATGGCTTCTGCACATGGTGTAAGGATTACATGGTGTGCTCAATTGGTGTCTTTCTTTCTCTAAAATCGTTTCTCTCTCTGCCGCTCACGTCGAATTGTGTAAGCAGTGGTACCACCACTAAAAGTAACTAGGAAATAGGAAATTTGAACGGATTATGTTGCAAACTGCCTCCTGAAAATGTATTGCAACGATGAATGATATTTGAAGATACGTTGTATTTATTAGAAATTCTTGAAAAGTATTATTGTTTAGGGCTTCAATGATTTCTCAACAAATGGAAAAGTATTAAAGAAAATTTAAAAAAATAATACTTGTAAAGCCTCATGTACAAAGAATGTAATAGTATATTAAAATTGCAATACTTCCTTTTTTCGAATGTTTTAATGCTTCTATTTTTTCCTTTGCTGGTTTTGAATGAATTAATGCAAAAAGACAGAATTATTGTCATTGATTAATGGCATGAATAAAGCCTAACCTTTTGTCCGATGATAATGTATATATTAAGTATAAAAGCACTCTAGTATCTTACTGGCTCAAAGGATGTGGCGATAACTTTTGAATGCAGGGGTCATACGTTCGAATCAATTGTTTTTTTTTTTATTAATTATTTGTTGCCCGTAAAAGTAACATAACAATTATTAATTTTATATGAAATTGGCGTTTAAAAATATGTATTGGCGAAGTATAATATAACTAATTATAGGTATACATAATCAACGAAAAATTAAATTATTGAAATTTAATATAATTTATTAATTATTCCAATTTCATGTATTTTTTTTATTCATTATTCTTGATTACATTTCTAATTTCTGTTTCAATAATTGTACCTATTTAAAATTAATTTGTTTACAACACAAGGTGGTACATTAATAAACCGCTTAAAAGGAAAGTCGATACACGAAAATCAGATCTTTGAAAAAAAATTTGTCACACCTTTTACATTTAAAATATTATTACTGATATTTTTGAAGAGAGAGAAGTGATTAATGTTTGTGAAAAGAAATGCAAAGAAGCAAAAATAATTAGTATAACAACTTTTATTTGTAATTGGACTTTTCTTCTGAAAAAAGGTAGTTGAAAATGTTTAATAACAAGAAATTTAATATTATATTTATATAAATATAATTTTGACACATTCTTTCAGTGATGTTAGAGTACGCAGGTAAGTACATTTTAGACACAAACAAACTTGCTATTAATTAAATATTATTCCGTTGTATGTATATATATATATATATATATATATATATAGATTTGCAGAAAGAGTATGATTTTATATACATTACATTATACATTACATATACATTATACTCGTGCAATGACAACATTAGTTTAATTTACGACACTAGTTTCTTCATTTTCTTCTCCTTCTTTCTTCTCTCTCTGTTTACATACGATTTTTTGGCATTTTCTTTTATTCGTATGTACGTACGTGTTCTCACCAGACACAATAAAACTTCATCAGGTAAGGAATCTTTGTACTCAGCCACCGCATTTCTTGTGAAAAAGTACATTTATATAATTACATAACACCACATTACAAATACAAATGTGTATGTGTTTTTATATACTTACTTGTTTACATTTGGAGCTTCTGAACAATTCAAAAATAACGTTGGCACAGCCGATGGTAGTAGGTGACGTTTCTTAACAGGGTCTTTCCGTGCTCGACCTTGATGAAAGGACTCTTGACTAAAATGAACCGAGCATATCCTTGCTGAAAATAATATAATGTATAAATAATAAAACTTAATACATTGTATTAAATATGGCTTTATAATTTTTATTTCAAATTAAAGATTTTCATATTTTGAATTGTAAAATATTTTTACTTATATACATGAACAAAGTGCTAATTTGTTTTTATTATTTTTTGTTCATATTAATAACATTTCATGACATTTTTACTCCATTTGTAAATACAAAATTTGAGGTTATGTTAGTAACTAAAAAATATTATTTTTTATTCATTTTTATTTTTCAATTAATATACTTTTGCACGTTTATGTACAATATCAAACTTACCAAATTCAACTTTTGGTGGTAAAACATAGCCTCCTATTTTTTTCAGCCATCCTTCCCGCATTACTTCATTTTTCGGTAGCTGAAAAAAATTCACAGTTTCCTCACGAACCCCCGTTGTTTTATTTCTACAACTTTTAACAATACACCGCACCATTTTTATTTTAAATTTATATATTGTCGCAACGCAAACAGACCCACTGTTTAACACAAAACAATGTACCGTACTTCTGAGGGTGCCGTCCCATGGCGCGTATTGCGATACGCGCGTATCGGGCGTATCGAAGTCTGCGGCCAATCACAGACGATCCGCCGATTTTGGTACGCCGAAATTTGCTCCTAAACGTCCCATGGAGCGGATTTCATCAGATTAAGCGTAAGCGGACCAGCGGATCGCCAATCACAGAATCTTTCCGATAGAGCCCTTTCAAAGATTCCGTTGAAACGGATCCGTGATTGACGATCCGCTGGTTACGCTTCCGCTTTATCCGCTCCATGGGACGGTAGGACCGTTTGGCGACGCGTACTGAACACACGCACACAAACACGCTTGTGACGCATGCACCTAAAAGGGCAAACGTCATAACCTCCAAAGTGAAGCCAGTTGTACGGCAAAAAATCTATGTTGAGATCGAGATCGCCAAGGTATTCGCCACCGCTTAATCTAGATCCAAATCACCTAGATTACCCCGAGAACAGTGTCACCACGTCGATT